ATAGCCATGTGATGTGAGTATCAGTCACCTGGAGGCAGGACTCAAAAGCCTGAATTTTGCCTAAAACTCTCAGACTGAAGAAGTCTCTTGGAAGAGAGACGAAACGTTTCATTAAAGAAGAACCCGTCCAAAAGACCTATTCAATTTTTTTCTTTTTGAGTATGTAAAATACATTGTATATTCAAAATGCCTTTGAAAGCCGTTGTTGTAATTTACTTTATACAAACCAAGATTACAAAACCTTTGTGTTTAACATTTTTGTGGAAGAAAATGTAACTAATTCAATCTTATCTTCTTTTACTTGGCATTTCATTCTGTTTGAATGAATTCTAAAACTGTATGGCATAATACTATCATGCTGAACAGTAATTATTTTATTGACAAAACAGATAGTAACTAAAAACTCAAAGCTGTGTGACAAATACAGTTTCTAATCTTTCTAAGTGTAATTTCTAAGAGTGAATAATGCAACATGAAAAGCAAATATATAATTGTGATGAATGTGAAAGAAGATACAGAGATCTTATTTTCAGTGTTTTTTTACACTTCTGATTATCAAATTTAACCATTTCTTTCACTTATTTAGTTATTGGGAAAAAAACGATTTCCTTGGTGCAAGTTTCTTCTTAGTAAACTGCTAGAGTATTTTGGTCTCACATGAGCCGGGCCTCAGTATCTGCAGAGTGACAATGAGTTTGATGCACTTTCTGAACCAGGGGTAAAAAAGTGTGTAGATCACAGGGTTTAGACAGGAATTTAAATAGAACAAAAAAATTGTATAAACATTTGATGATGCATCTGGCTCATCACTCACAGCAAAAAAGACACAGTAATATGGACAAAAACATAATAAAAACACAAATACAAGAACACCAAGAGTCCTGGCTGCTTTCAACTCAGATTTCTTTGTTTTTAAAATACCTGATTTCTGGAGTGCAGCAGCTGTGGTGTGAGAGCGCATAGCACGAGCCTGAGACACAACCACCACAAATACTCTCATATACAGAACTATGATAACAGTAACAGGACATATAAAGTTCACAATTAGGTCAAAAGTGCCCATGATATAGTTTGTTACTACTTTACATTCCCCAAAGCAGGACCTACTCCTGCCAGGTTGAATCAGCTCATCTTTCATGTAAAAAAGGACGCAGGAAGCAGCACTGAGCCAACACAGACAAATACAGCATTTCACTTTTGCCAGAGTGATTCTGGTGGCATAATGTAGAGGGTCACCAATAGCTATGTAGCGATCAATTGATACAAAAACAATGTTTCCTACTGATGTAGAAATAATTTGACACATGATACAATACGATAAAACACATATAATATCTCCAAGTAACCAACAGGATGAACTTATTAAGATTTCTAAAGGCATAGCAAAAACACCAACAAGGAAGTCTGAAACTGCCAAAGATAAGAGGATGATGTTAGTGGGTGTGTGGAGTTGCCTGAAAGGAGAAAAACAGAAATAAATTATTCATAAAGAACAAATAATCAATGACAATACGTTCTACTATCATATCATACTGTATAAACTATATKCTGTTTATTCTCTGCCTGAAATGGGAGACTGAGATGATGACGAAGAGGTTGAGAGCTGCAGTGATCAGACAGATAAAAGACAGCACAGAGTTCAGGAGCACAGCTTTAGACCAGTGAAGTGTTGGCTTCCTGCAGGAGCTGTTGAGCTGTGGAAAGCAGAGATCGTCTTTGTTCTGGAGCATCATTTCAGACAGCTACAGCTCTCTGGCCCAGGTTGTGTTATACAGCAGATCTTTTATTATTACTTCCTCTCTGGGCTTTGAGTCTCTGTGGAATAATTTTGACACTCCTACTTTACCTCACGAGTTTTACTTTGCAAACTTATTCTTTTAATTATTAGTTTACTTCTTTTGCTGTGAACTTCACAGCAACTTTTTAAAGATGTTTTTAATATCAGCCAACTACTCTTAATAAATAGTAAAACTTTAATATGAATACAATGATATTATGAGTGGCCAAGTCAGTAAGTTACTTTGGAAACAACAACAAAAGCATTTTCAGCTTGGAGATAAGCCTYGTGCATTATTAGCAAAAMAACTTGAGTGCTTAAGCTGCCATTGCAGCCAACATGGGACCAGAAAGCAACAGGTTGGACTCTCCACCATGCCCACATYTCMTGGTGTCCTTGCGCAAGACARCCAARCTCCAACTGCTCCCTGGGRYCTTACCTAGCTGCCCACCGCTCCACTTTGGTGTTTCTCGTGTGCGATGATGGGTCAAATGCAGAGCACAAATTTTATCACTTCATGGATTGATGACAAAGCACCTTTAGCACATTTAACCCTAATACTGTGAGTACTCGATTATCTGCGTCACATGTGCTGCTATCTCCTGACAGCAAGGTGCTGAGCTCACCAAACTTGACACACACACAGCTGGAGTGGTGTTGATAAGGGTGCATGAGTTTTGTGAATGTACGTGCACTTCCAAGGGCTCTTATGGGTTTATTTGATAATACTGTATGATGATGACAAATTATGGCAGATATGGAATGATTGTAAGGTGTGCATGTGGAATGGCCCAGGGCGCAGGCAAAAAGTTCAATAAGTTTTGCCTCCCATTTTACTTTTAGAAACTCGAGGAACCAYAAGTAAATCTTCAGTCTGAGAGCAAAGTGCTCTGTTAGGAAAGTATGGAACAATAAGATGTTTAATATATGATAGAGCTTGGTTGTTAACAGCTTTGTATGTTAGGAGTAATATTTTAAATTCTATTCTAAATTTGACAGGGAGCCAGTGGAGAGAAGCTAAAACTGGAGAAATATGATCTCTCCTTCCAACTCTCATTAAAACTCAAGCAGCAGCATTTTGGATTAACTGAAGACTTCTTAAATAGTTTTTTGGATGTTCAGATAATAAAGAATTACAGTAATCCAGTCTAGACATAATAAATGCATGAATCAGTTTTTCTGCATCATTTTTGGACAAAATTTTTCTAATTTTAGTGATATTACGCAGGTGGAAGAAGGCGGTCCTMGTAACATTTTTAATGTGGGGGTTAAAAGACATGTCCTGATTAAAAATAACACCAAGGTTCTTTACATTAGAACTGGAGGCCAGATTAATGTCATCCAGAGGAGGTGAAAGGCTGCAAAGTTGATCCCTAAGATGTTCAGGTCCAAAATCCATAACCTCTGTCTTATCTGAGTTCAGAAGCAGAAAGTTAAAAGTCAACCATGATTTATGTCTGTAAGACAGTGGCGGGCTGTGCATTTTACACCTAGGCCTTCAATTGGGAGAGTACAGACCTGTTGGATGCGTAGAAGTTGGGGGTGGGGGGGGCTGCTAACTGCGGAGTCTGCAGCAGAGAGCAGGGAGGAAGAGGCTGCCAGCTCTGAACATAAGTTTATAATTTAAAAAAATATATAAGACAGTCGTAAAGGTCTGTATACAAAATGGGAGAAAACTTTCTAATTTACAGACAATCTATACAACTTGACACAAAGCCACGAGTACAAAAACCACCAATAATACACAGAAAATCTGAACAATATGCATGCTGCACCTCATACAGGAGTCCCAGCATCCCCACAGATAGGTGTTTTGACACACAGACTGGTGTTTCTGCACCACAGACACGAAGCCAGAATGAAAGTCATCACTGATGCAACACATTTAACAAGTTTTCTCAACTGCAGCCACGGCTGTGCCATACATTAACAGCAGCATCAACACAGTTATATAATATGCTGATAATTAAATAAAACATTTAAAAAACATATTTTACTCACCAAAACTTTTATTGTCCATTTAAAAACTCCATCCTCCTTTTATTCCTCAAGAAAAATCCTGCTTCTCTATCATAGAGGTCCTCATGGCGTTTCGTTTCAACAATAAGTCCTTTTCTATCACCACCATGAAGCTAACACTGAAAGTCCAGTCTGTTCTGTTCTGTATTTTTGTTATAAGTTTTAATTTTCTGTAACTCTGAGAATGTCCGCTCAGTATTTAGCTTGTAAGACACTGCAGAAATCTAGTTTCCCGGTTGTGAATCCTGCTTTCTGATCAACCAATCAAACGATGAGAAAATGTTGACGCTGTCCGAAGCCAGCTAGCAGGCTCTGAGGTCTTCAACTCAGCACCTGATTGGTCAAAGCAATAGCATCACTGCCGTGTGTTTCACTCTCCAGGTGACTTCACTGTTCGTTCTGAAGGCCTGAGGCATGATGTCACTGATGACATCATTGTCAAATTCTAAAACTTGAAATTGCTAAAAAACTAAAAATATTTAAGATTCCAAAAAATAATATCCAGAATCTCCTGAAGGAGCTGAACATTTTGTTATATGAATGGTTTAAGCAGCATAAAAATTGTGGAAGGAGAAGCCGTCCAAAAACGTACCCCATTCAAAGTCAATGGGGTACATCAATAATTTAGAGTTATTGATGTGCAAACTTCCATTTTACTCATGAGTTTTTTCGTGTTGAGTCACTTCCGGGTCACGGCTGGTTTGGTGCTCCAGAGTCCCATAGGAAAGTCATTGTAAGATTTTGGACATGCACAGTAAGTCCCCAATGCAAAATAATATGGTGGCCTGTGGCGCGGCTTACCTCTGAAGACACACATGGTAGTGAGTGGGTCCACCCGGTGTCGACGACTCGACATCATAAGGCTGCAGCCTGCAGGGCAATACGAGGCGGATTTTGGAGAAAAACAAATGAGAAATGAAGGAGAAAACAACACCATAAAGGCTCCTGCATGCTGCTGCCGAAATGCCGAAATCGTGCCGAACGGTTGCAGTTTTATGACGAAAATAGCGTCACTTTAGTTCGCATTGTCGGCATTTCTTGTCGCAACTCGCGGGTCGAACTTTTCACCCCCGTCCACATAAGAACAC